CAGGCCACAGTTCGCCATCCTGGCTAGGCTGCCATAGGCCTAGGCCCAGTTGCGCAACGGTCTCCCATGGCGTTAAGCCACAGCTTGCTTCAATGGTGGTTTACTGGTCATCTCCAGCCAGCCAGCTCCTCAGCCATGGTTTGCAATGGTGGCTGTTGCCCAGGCTGAGCAAGTGACCCTCCCCAATCGAGCATGTGGTGTCATGTGTGAACCCAGCCAATTGTGGCTTATGGGATCAATCTGGGCCAAACAATGGCTGAAGCATGGGAAGAGAACACCTGGGCTCTGCTGGGCCTTTGGCTTAAATAAATCCGATATTTAGCAAAATGGCAGCCATGGAGAATTCCTCAGAACAAGTGTGGGCCTTAATGTCTTGGATGAAAGGCAGTTACTACGTTTATCTGTATCAGAATGAGTGGTTGGTGCTCTCCCACGGAGCCAAGAAGGCATGGCAGGTCAAAAAAGTCAAAATGGCAGCTGCAAGTGAGGCTTCAACAGGGGTTTGGCTGCCATTTTGCCTTTTTTTTTTCAATGTCCCACAAAATAATATCCTTGTGGTACTATAAATACTGTTTATCTATTTGATGGAGTAGATATATGAAATGATACCATATTGGTAGTTTGCTGCTGAGTTCCTTACCCTGTTAAAACAATAATATGGTTTCTTTGGTCCTATTGTTGTAAACCATGGCTTGTGGCTTAGTGTGAACCCCACTAATTTGGCTCCCTTGACAAACTGTGATTGGGTTTAATGTGTGATGTTAACATAGCATCTTTTTTTTGTTTTATAGTTTTTAAAATTATTTGGCCTTTATTTAATAAACAAAATTGACATCAATTTTTTTTGAAACAATAAAAACAAAACAATACAAAACCAAAAATTACCTAGCTCTACATACAAATAGATTTATATATCTCTGTACCTATATCTATAAATCATATATATATACATCTAGATAATTTTTGTTTATATATAAATATTTTAGAGTTACTGTAGCCTACCGAACAACATATTACATATTAAAATTATAAAAGCAACATCAGAAACCAAGTATTAAAAATGGTTTCAACTCATCAGTTATGAATCTACTTCTGTTTTAAAAACTGTGCTACAAATATATTAGGACAACGTTTCTCAACCTTGGCAAATTTAAGACGTGGACTTCAACTCCCAGAATTCCCCTATGCTGACTCTCCATGTGTCTTAAACTTGCCAAGTTTAAGTTTACTGTATTTAGAATATTTAAGCATTTAAGAAAGAAGCAGACAACATACAAGATCACAATGCATAGAAGTTTGAATTACCTAGTGAAAACAGCCCAAAACACTCACAAAGCTGAACAATATTTGATTTTAAAGTTATGCCAGCTGGACAGAGGGCACGAGGATAAAAAGGACGAAGCTTTCTGCTTTTTCAAGATGTCTGATAGCCCTAACCATGGTAGGCTGCAAAATAACCATTTTAGAAAAAAACAGACCTTAAAAGCAACAAATTACCTTTTTCAGCCAATCTCAGATGTTCACAACAAACACATTACTAACCAACAAAGTTCTTGTAACCTGAGTTACCTACACTTGCATAAACCTACACTTGCATCTTCCTTCCCCCCATTTCCCCTCCCCCCAATTTAAACCCTACACTACTCCCGCAACTCTGTGCATCCGATAAATAAAATTTGTCTGCATTTTAATAACAGAATAAGAGTTGGAAGGGTGTCCTGGAGGTTTTCTAGTGCAATGATCCTACAGCATTTCAGAAAACAAGTCCCTTTTTAAAAATTTAACAACATTTGTTAGTTAGGGGTGGGAATGCTTCCAGGCTCCCCGTTTTAGGATATTTAGGACAATTATTCCACAATATTATTGTCCTGAGATTTTTAAAGTTCTAATTTGAACGCTCTGTTTGCCAGCAAGAAACATTATACTGAATTTAAGATCGGCCTTCCCACAAAGTAAAACCTGATTCCAAGTCTAAAGGCCTCTTCTTTAAAAAAATAATTTATATAGAGAAAATAGCATGGATAAATATGAGCATGCTTCTGAAGTCTAAATTTACATTTGGATTTTTTTTTCCCCCCATATGAAGTGGGATTGTCTTCTTCAAGATAGCAGTCTACACCCGCTTGGGACGGACTTGGTTGATTGCGAAATTCAGCGTCTGCACGCACAATCGTGAATGGTTGCTGTTAGAAGAATAACCACAGATAAACTTGGGTTTAACTGGTAAGCAGCCTACTTCAGCATGTATATCATGCTTCTTCGATAACCTGAATGGTTTCAAAATGTTTTCTTTTAGGAATCAACTTAACAATGAAAACAATTGTGATGCCATACTTTTCAACTGTCGTCTAGGCCAGAAAAGAAAGAGGAATATTCTCATAGCAATCTCTCAACAGTGTAATTTGATTTGGAACTAATTAGTGGCAAAAAGACAAAAAAAAGAATTGCACATCAGCGTCTGATGTAGAATGGAATCTATCAGGACTGCGAAAGTCTTTTAGCTCTAACAGAATCTTTTGCATTTTTGTTTTGCAGCTTTCAAGAGAAGTGGAGAGTCCAATCCCATTGATTCCAAAAGCACTTTCCAGGTAAACTGCTTTGATGACTGCTTCTACCCCTGATTTTTGCAAGGGTCTCTTCTTCATGAAAAGGAGATGACATCTTGGTGGCAAGAAATACATGTTTTACAGAGTAAGTTGTGAGTGAGCCATGAATTCTTGAACAGCTACAAAGCCAGAGGTGGTACTCAGCAGGTTCTGACCAGTTCTGGAGAACCGGTAGCAGAAATTTTGAGTAGTATGGAATACCACCTCTGA